TGTGTGGTCAGCAATTAGCTGGCAGACAGACTCGGTCTTTTTGCTTTCTCTACCGTTCCCGAATAGGGACCTTGTCAGGAAGATGCTCTGTTTATTGCTTATTCGGCAGAAATTTCAGTTCCATTAGAGTAAAATACTTTGACTTTAGTTCCTTGCCGGAGCACTAACAATGACATCATTGCTGAACAGTGTGCGCATTGCCCTTTTATGAAATAGATGCCCTTACCAGGTATATGCAACTTTATTAAGCTTATTGTGTGTTCGGCCAAAGCCGAACTCAAGCTAGGCCTTGGTCTTATGTCGCTACCAATATAGATGCATTTTGCGACACTGTTATCCTCACCTTCCCCCTCCTCAAGAAAAAAATATTCCAACAGCTGTCCTGGCCTCAAGAACCAATATTACCAATTCGAAACACAAAATCGGCTCTATGGAAATGATGGCGACACAGGCATTCTCGGTTTTTGAAATAAAACGGCGTTGTTCTCACAAAGGCTGGAATATACACACTTCGCGGTAGTGATCGACCACGTACCAGGTCAAAGTGCAACTTCCTTCGTCTAATTTTTGCAAAGTTCATACACGGCTGGGATGTATGATTCTATCAGTTTTACCTCAGAAGCCTCCTTGCTGCTACTTTTGCATTCATTTGGTTACTATTTGCTTTATTTATCATCCTAATTGTAAATCCGATCGGTAAGAGTATGCCAGTACAGACTTGCATTTGTGAAAAGAGCATCATGTCTAAATTATCCTAGCCCCAAGTTGTACTATAGAGGTGCGCCTTTTGTTATTTCATGTAGAGGTCGAAGGCGTATCCGTAATGTTCCTAAATTTTCCGTTTGTCTTTTCTTCTTCCTTGATTTTCTTTTTTGTTACGGTACTCTTTTCATCTTGCCAAACAGATGTTGGACCCATTCATATTCCGATTTGAAGAGGATGAGGAGTGGGACTTGGTTGTCAAAGAACGCATCGTATCCTGCAGTCTTTCAGAACCCCAGAGGGTCATCCATGACCTCATCCTGAGGGACAAATCGTGAGTACTGTCTTCTTTATACCTTTTTCCTCAACTGCCTATTTTTTTCCGGCTTCTCGAACCAAACTTGCATTCTTGCCTTCAGGTGTGAACGTGCAGTAAAGTCCGGCAGCTTGGTCGACCTGCTGACCACCATGTCAGCCGGGGTCGGCACATGTGTTCACCCCTGTCTCAGTGCCGGCAGCGCTGTGAGCCAGTCGAAACTGTTTCAGTCCTCCCTCACAGGCCTCCTCGAAGATGCCAGCCCGC